GATTAGAGCGGACAACATTGAGGTGTCACAAGAAACTCAGGTATTTGATATGAGATGTAATCTTTAGATCAGATCGAGGTTGATTATAATGTTTATTCTAGAAAGGTTCATTGTGAGCTTCATTTTTGGTAGAGACCCAATTTGTTCCCCTTTTTATTCGTGATGTTTTTCACAAAGTGTTGTTCAGAAGCTACATTTAGGTGGAGCTGTTCAAACTGGTAACCTATTACAATGGGAAGAATGTCCCATTCTCTGAGTGGGAGGAATGGCACGGTATGCGCGCTTTTGGTGAGAATGAACCGAACCAGTGGACATCGGTAAGTAACGAGTTGATTGTTCTCGAGCCGTTCTTCTCTCAAATCAAAATTGGGTCCGATTATATTCGGAGTCCTAGCCCATTTTCAAGTGCAGTAATACCTTTTATCGATACGAAGTTTGCTCACATTAATTTTTTTCTCACGAATTTTGACCAGCAAATCATGAAAACCTCCCTTCATTAATTCGCAATTTTTTCGTGAAATCTGGTTGTCTCTCTGTTTCGTTTTACATTCCCTAATTCTTGAATGCCGTTGGAAGAAGCTTTCCACGTACTGGACTTAGCGACGAATAGACTATACAATTGAGTCGAAATTTCGAAATAGCACATCAGTTCGGGTAAATTTTTCAGGCTGGGTTGGCAGACCTGTTATTTGAAGTGCTACCGCATACTCCTGAAATTGTGTCTATCTACATCGCTGGTTTGGTCAAGTACGTCTCATTCGCTTGCTTTTTTTGGCTGAAACTTTTTCAGGAAGCCCATTTCATTCTTTTTCATGGGAAAATATGTAGACGGTGAAGGGTTGACTCAATATTCTGCAGAATTGTGACACGTCGCGCAATGAAATTGTTCTTTCCAAACTCTATCTCTTCAAGTTTTCTCATTTGATATTTCATACTCCGTTAAGAATTTCAGGTTTGCCACTCGCGAAAGCGTAGATAGAGCAAGGGAACTGCACAAGGTACCATAAACCAGGCAAGCTCTTGGCCCGAAAAATTCCGAAGAAACATTTCAGGAGTTCTCGTCAACTGGAGTTCTGTGTCGCGAAGCATACGACGCTCTGATATATATTGCGAATTTCAACGATGCAAAGGCTCTAATGAAGGAGATGGTCGAGAAGAAAGTGAAACCTGCCATCAATACGTTTAATGCTCTGCTCCTATCAACTACTCATGTGAGAAACCCTTAATTTAGCCCTTCCGTTCTGAGTAGAGTTGCTTCTTTATTCCAGATGAACAGTCTGCCTGAGCGTTTGTCTGCGTTCGAGAGTACTGTTGGCGAAATGCTCAGTGTTGGGATTCAGCCATCGCTTGAAACCTACCGAATTATTTTGAACAGCATAGGGGAGTCTATTCCGAATAGTGACTCGAAGGATGCTGAAAAGAAGGCCGACGCAATCATGGTTAGTTGAAGATCGCTGCGTGATTGCTCTAGGATAGTTCATGTCTCTTTTGAACGTTCGGTGGACGAGTGTTCGTGGATGGAGATGCGCTAATGGTGTTCTTGCAGAGTGTAGGGATTTCATGGCTCTCTGAAATGCTATCCGATTTGGAAACTCGATCTTCACTTGAGCTGTGTTCTGCTAAAGACCATTTGTTTTTCTTGGATGCTATGGGAATCGCTTACCAGTGCGTAATCACACGAAATATGTTAATATTGTTGCCGAGGTAAAGAGTTACCGTTTCATAAAAGGGTTTTCTCAGGGCTGGAAATATGGAAATAGCCGAGCGCTTGGTGAAGCTGTACGAAAATCCTACGAATATGGTGAAACTTCCAGCTCTTCCAACGGAGGGAATGTGAGTATACGAAAGAGTTCGTCAGATTGCAAGATATCAGTGTACATCACTTCAGATTCTAACAACCGCTACCTTCTCCTATTCATTGAGCGGACACAACTATCCTTGGAAAATGCGAAAGAAATACAAGGAACTTGTTCCACGCCTTGTTGGTGTTTCCCGACAGCTTACTTTAGCAGTAGCTGAGAAGCTTAAGGTAATAAATAGCTGGTTGGTTGATTTTTGGAAAACATTCTGCCTGGCTTGCAAGACATGGACAGCTCTTAGAAAGTTAGAGTTTACCGAGTTCTCGTGGCAGTGCTCAAAATTTCGATTGTCCCTCATTTTTATTCTATTCGAAAGTAGTGCGAATTCAGGCACGAGCCTGTATAGTTAAGATTTGCTAGTGCCTATAAATAAGTTAGCTTCGATGCAGTACTTTCCACTTACTCTCGGAGTTGACTAATTTTGAGCTCTAATGCAGCGTGATGTAAATATTTTCACGCAAGGTCCTCCGCCTTCTCCACCAATTCTTCCGTAGCAATCTTTGATTTCGCGATTATCAGTTCTGTTTGCTACACCTTAAATGGCTTTTATTTTAGAAAGTATTTGATTTTGATCACCCGCAGTGTTTTAGAATTCACCGCGATGGACCCTGTTGCATCGGGTAATTGAGGATGGTATTTGTGCTCGCCAAATGGTCGACTTTCGTGTGGCACCAACTTTTAGAAACCTTTTAATTGATGTTCACTACCAGGTATCGGTAACATGTTATAACCTAAATCATGTTCGCATCTTGATCTCTTGCTCAAGGCACTCTCAGTGGAACATCGCGAGCAATATGCGAATCTCATTCGTCGTATGGTTGACATTTGGGTAGAATTCAGTCGTTTCACGGATGAGAGGCAAAAAAGGCTGCAGTTCAAGCTGTCACCCAGTAACGTTAGTTGGTCATTACTTGACCTTCTTCTTCTTTCTTTGCCTTTTTCTCGCTCCTATTACTCAAAGAACACGTGGTTCAGATTTCTGAATGTGCACTTCTTCTTAATCGGGTGGGTGATTCACAACGAGCGTATCAACTTCTTGGTATGCTTCTAGATCCAGAGGCTTCGGAAGGAGAAGAAGCCACGGTTTTGAACACAGGTACGCTTTCATTCCGGTGCAGTTCTATAAAGATATAAGATTCTTCAAGATAAGATGTAAGTTGAAAGATTTTGCAGGTTATGTCAGACATAGTGCAATGCTAGAGTTATTTGAGGACGCATTGAGAGAAAGAGATCCGTATAAGTGAGTTTTGAAGTGCTTCTGAATATTATTTGTTGTTTTTAATCTTTCCCTTTATTTCTTAGAGCTGCAACTTGTGTGGAGATTATGAGCTACAGCTTACCCAGAAATAAATTAGAGCCCTTGGTACAACGAATACATGACAGGTGAGCTTAGTTTCGCCTTTGATCCTACCGATGATTTCATTTTTAGCTTTTCTTTTGTTTTGAACCTCTACCGAACCTTCTTTTATGCTATCTGTTCATTTCAGATGTAATTTGACGCCAGATCAGCATAGAATATTGAGTGGATTCGTACGGTTACGACCTCAATAACATGTATGTATATATGATTAGATTTTTTTAGATCTTAGATTTTAGCGTTGTTATTTACTGTACGCTACCGTTAGTTTAAAGAAGAATATTCTGAAATTGTTGATTTGTTGATTCTATGTGTAATAATTTGATCCCATTAGATAAAGGATAAGAGATAAAGCACTCAGCGTTACCATTCCTTTGGATACGCCACGCATTCTACTTCCGTTGACAATAGTCGTGGTTATTTCGTTGCCAGTTCTGCCTACACAGCCACACAAACTGTATCAGTCTTTCGGGGCACGGTTGTGTACTCTGCACCAACTAAGATGACTTCCATGGAAAGGTTGGTTGCTTCTCGACGCGTAACCGCCCTAGCTTCTAGTCTTGATCATAAGCGTGGTAAACACACGTCCACTTGTCCACGAACCACTTCCTGCCAACACAGTATTGCTTCAACAGAAGAAAAAAACATTGTTATTCAACATGAGCTTCTTCTAATTGAAAATCAATTTGGTAGCTGATCAGAAATCGAGCGGCTATCCTTAATAAATCACTTAATTTCGTGCGGGGTCTCATCAGCCGGGCGCTGTCATGGCCTAGGCCTGTCGCTGGTACCAGACCATCTTTTTTTTCCGAAGTGGGGTCACATAGTAGAGCTTCGTCAAGTGATTGACCGAGCGGTTTTAAAGAGTGCAGCATAACGAGCCTATGCTCTTAACACCTCGCTTATCCCATCGCCTTAGACCAAACTGGGTTTTGCAACAGTACAGCGTTTTAAGGCCGATTAAACTCCTTAATGTGATTTGACCTTGCCATCGTAATTGACAAGTTTGCGTTGTTGTTCATTACAGTGGTAGGCGGAAGCCGTTCGACGTTCGAACTGAAGATTTTATTCTTGCAGCAACTTTAACACCGATCACTCGATTTTTCAGAACGAAGTGCATACGTTTTTCTGGGACGCATATAGCTCCACTTCCATTCAAACGAGGAATTCACGATTTCAACGAAGGGGAAAATTGCATAGTTGGGAGACAGGCGGACCTCCTGAGGGTGCTGACCGACGCGCAATTGGCAGCGAAAGATTTGACCTCGGCGATCTAGCATGGCTCACTCTTGGCGCGGTTGGCGGGGTACGCCCACCGACTATCTAATCACTCGCCGCAGGTCTATACGTGGCGAGTGATTAGATAGCAGAGAGAGCGTAGTGTTGAAGAGGGCACAGCGATGAGAGTCGCATCAATGCGCAAATCAACGGGCAAGGAAGGGGTCCCATTTCTCGGGTTTCGGGCCGTTTCAAATGGTTTCTTCTTCATCCCTGCTCCACTGACCACCTCTACCCTTATTTCCAATGAGCTAACTTTTCATCGTAAATTCTGCCTTTAAGAAGGGCCCGTTTTCTGTGGCAGTTTGCCGCTTTTACCTTTTTAGATTTCGCTTGCCCATTCTTTGTTTCTCCCCTATTTTCATTGAGCCGCTTTTTGTGGTGGTACTACCATTCTGCATAATGATTTCATTTTATGACGGAATGCATTAATGTGTAGAGCAGAAATGATTAGCGGAACCGGTTCTCAGTGATGCATGCTGAATGCGACGTCGGTGGCGTTCGTTCATCAAGGCAACCTTTGCCAGCCACTCCCGCGATCGACGTTCTGAGTTGTAATTAGTGTTTAACGGTGAAAATCCAGTTAGTGGGGCACTTTTTGGTATGGCTGGTGTCAGAGACCGCTATTCGTCGCGCTGTTCGCGCGAATCGCGCGACGGATCACAGAAATCGCAAGTGTCCCGATCAATACTGCGAGGTGCTCTCTCCCGATG